GCAGGCCCCCCCCCTGCCCAGGCCTAATGCCTCTGGCCAAGGCATTAGGCCTGGGCAGCGGGGACTACCAGCTCCCCACGATCTCCCACTCTGCCCCTGCCCAGCTCCCCCCGGTTGCAGGCTCTGCCCCGCCCAGGCCTAACGCCTCTGGCCGAAGCATTAGGCCTGGGCAGGGGACCCCCAGCTCCCTGCGGTTCCAGGCTCTGCACCTGCCCAGGCCTATCGCCTCTGGCTGAGGCGTCTGGCCCGGGCAGCGGGGACCCGCAGCTGCAGCGGCCCCGTGATCGTGGGCTCCGCTTTAGGCCCAGGCAAGGGACCCCTAGCTTCCGGGACTGCCAGCTTCGACTGTGCCCAGCTCCCATCGCTGGCTCCACCCCTACTTCCTGCTATCACTGGCCAGGGCGGCAAAGGCGCCTGATTCTCTGATCATGGCTGGGGGGCAGGGCAAAGGCGGCCCCAGGGTTTCTGATCACTGTCAGTGGCAGGGGGCTTCTTCCTGCTTTCCCTTTCGCCTCCCTGCATTGTGCCTACATATGCAAATTAACCGCCATTTTGTTGGTGGTTAATTTGCATATAGCCCTGATTAGCCAATGAAAAGGGTAGCGTCGTACGCCAATTACCATTTTTCTCTTTTATTAGTGTAGATTAGTGTAGATAATTAAGCATTTGGCTACCTCCCCCAAACCCCAGTTTTGTACCTTGAAGAGTATTTTGTCATTTTTCTTTATTTCTTTGCAAAATTATAGGCTTTATGGCTTTGGAATGCCCTTTTCTGCTTCATTCAGAATATTGATTTTACAATTTAGCTACTTGAAAAATTATATTTATAAACCTTTCTAAGGGTTTTTTCTTTCTAAATGGAATTCAATTGTTGACTTTATAAATATTGTGTGGTTTGATGTTATTACAGTTGATGGTGGTTAATGTGGTCATTAACGATATGCTTATGAGAAAAATAATGCTTTGCTATGTGCTCAATTTAAGATCTTTGAAAATTATGATTACTATTTTTTTTGCCTTTTATTAACTTATTTACAAGGAAGTGACTTACAATGCATAGAAGGGTAAAATACATGATCACGGAGACGGGCTTTTCCTCTGATATGTTTGTTTCACTTATCTCCTTTTGCCAATAGGTGTCCTTTCTCCTCGAGTACCTGGCATCTTTGTCCAGGCTTTTGCAGTCATGTTTATTGGTAGATCCTGACCTTGTGATTCAGGATGAGCTTCTGAAACCTCTTATTACAAACATCATCCGAGTTCTTACCATATCCACCAAAGATCTGTTTGGTAAGCTTTATTTTTTTAATTTAGCATGGAAGTAAATAATATTGAGGGAAAAAATCTTATTCTGCATCAGATACTCACTTCAAGGTTACATTTTAGGTTGCTTTTTGCCAGTGTTTTGGGAGGTTTTATAATGTGTTTTATAGTTTGGATGTGGTAAGTGGTGCCAGGAGACCACCTGAGGGAAGTTTGTGGTGTAATAAAGGACCATCCCTGTGTTGTCAGTATAAATGGGGATAAAGTTCTTTATGGAGTGTGAGGGAGTACTATGAACTGTATTAAAATTTCTTATAAACTCTGCTAAGGCCAGGTGACCTAATAGCTCATTTGCAATAAGAATTATAAGCAAGTCTAGCATATAATACCAAATTTTTCTTAAGGTCTGAAAAGATTGAAAAATATACTGATTAAAAGTTGAATATGCTACTTAGTAGTAGAGACGATTAAAAAAAAGTAGGGCCTGGCCAGTATGGCTTAGTGGTTGAGTATCGACCTATGAACCAGGATATCATGATTTGATAACCAGTCAGAGCACATGCCTGGGTTGTGGACTTGATCTCCAGTAGGGGGTATGCAGGAGGCAGCCAATCAGTGATTCTTTCTCATCGTTGATGCTTCTCCCTCTCCCTCTCCCTTGCTCTCTGAAATCAATAAAAATATTTTTTTTAAAAAATAGGATTGTTATCAAAATTAATATGTAATACCTGTCTAAAATAGTTTATAATGAAGTAATTGATCATTTTGCAATTCTCTGCCTACCCATTCTTTCCTATCTAGTCCTTTGAATTTTATGGATTGGCTTGGTTTTAGGTCTGGTATGTGAATGTTTTATGATTCTCAGCTAAGCCAGTCCTCTGTGTCTCATCAGTGTTAGAATTGCCTCAATGCTAGAGGCATAATAACTTACTTCCTGAAAATTTTACACGTGGCAGTGATGTCCTAACTAAGCTAAGTAGGTTAGACCATGCATTCTCAAATCACCCCCTCCACCCCCTACAAAGGAGCAAAAATTGATTATTGGGTGAAAGGGATGGGAGAACAATTCTAGCTATTACAGTGGTTTGCGGCCCTCCAAAGCTCAACTCTACCCAATAAAATCTCATTCCCTAGTATTTAATTCTCTTACTGGGTTTTCTCGGGTATCATTTGAGAAGCATCAAATTGAGCTCATGGAAGATACACAAGATCAGTGCTAAAAAACTGATGGCTGCGACTGGAGGACTTGATTCAATGCTTGATCCCAACATCACAGGGCGAGAGGTGGCCTGTGCATCTTGGTTGCCACTGACTGCCTTGTGGATGTTCTCATTGATTTTATTGCTTTTATGTGTGACTTGGGCTGTGAGAATTAAGTAAAAATAGTATCTATATTATTATTTAATTACTTATATCAAATGCTGAAAAGAAAATGTCTATAATATCTGAATGCATATATAGTAAGTGGTTATGTTAAAAGTTACTTTCTCCTATTTAGCAAAAGTTAAAAGTTCCCTAAAAATTTTTTTTTCTGCTAAAATATTTTTTAAGAAATTAAAAATTTTTTCTGGAAAAATAAAAGTTATGAATACTATAAAAATTGGTTATATTTAGTATATACTTATATAATTTGCAATTTTCATATATAATTTGACACATTTTAATATATGAATAAATTACCCTAAAAGGTGTTCAGTTATAAAGTTAAATGTTAGTAGCTTTTTTAATTTAACTTCCAACTTAAATATTTTATTTGGCCCCCATAAACCTATATTGAATAAAATCAGTAAGCTTTATACTTACTCTTTTTATGTGTAAAGTCTGGATATACAGATAGTACATCAATAGATATATTATCTGTGAAATTAATATTTAATGGGGATGGTGATGAGAAACCATATGTCTAAACACTCTTATAGAGCTGATAATAACAAAAAGGTAGAGAAATACCAAGGATAGTTATCCAAACTGCCTGGACGGTGCTATTTCCAGATGCCTGGTGGGTGCTGAAGAACACCGAGAAGGAAGTCCTCGGTTTGCATGTTGATGGAGTTAGCAGCGGGCAGAGACTGCTGGTGGTGCGGGCATAGAAGACAGTCCTACAATACTGGCTACCCTCCAGCTCCCATGTGCCCAGCAGAGAGAAGGGACTAGCTGTTCTTACCCTAGAACCGAGGCTCCCAACCTTTTTTTGGCCATGCCTCACGTAGGCATCTCTAAAATCCTGATCCCCCTGTGACATATAATTCTTATTATTCAAAAAGCTAACTCCTATTCACGTGGAGGAAGCCTAAAAAGCCATTAACTTCATCTAAACAAGCTTTCAAAGAACATGGCATCCATGAAAGAGAAAAATAAAAGAACAAAAGGACAGTTGAAGTACTGAGGAAGAAATCACTAAGAAATAGTTAAAAAAATAATATAAAGTGATATGAAAAAATAGCAAAGTTTCAAAACATAGAGAACTGAAATGCATAAATATGTTATAATATATATTTATATACTATATATGAGGCCCCTAGAAACATAAGAAATGTAAAAAATCCACTGTTAATAACTCATTTTTGAATTGTCCCCCTGTGGGGCGTGTGCCCTGCATTGGGAACCACTGCCCTAGAAGGTTCATTAGGCCATTGTCAGCCATAGGCAAAGCAGCAGATCCTCTGCTGTGTCATAGCTTTCTTGTAGGGCAGTACTCTTCTGGTTCTTCAAAGAAATTCTCTTCTTTGCCATGACCTTGGTATACACAAAGTTGCTAGAGGGGAAGAGAAAACAGGAGAACCTTCACTTTTATAGAAGTAACACAAACAACGACATGTTTTTACAATGTGCCCAATAAGAGTTTCTGAAGTTATGGCTCAATATTCAGTTTGTCATACTTCCTGATTGTTGTTGAATGTGCTTTAATAAGAGAAGATGTGCCAGTGGGTGTTTATTTGTGTATAGCAAGGTGGAAGAGAGAGATATTTAAGAAGCAATACATAATTGAAGTAAATTCATGCTGAATTCTGTCTCCATTTGACAAGTACATCCCTCTTATTTTAAATGTAACGAAGTGGCTTGTGAGTTTTGTATTTTAAAAGGTTCTTTTGCTTTGCGTTAATAACTTGATATGTCTTGATTAACTTGATAGATGCAGAGTTAGCATTGGCATTTTACCAGACATGGACACATTTATTTAACCTCCTGGCCACATTCCTGAGGAAAGCAGGAACTGCCTCGCTGCCACCCATCACGACGGGTCTGGCCGAGCACTGGGCGGCAGTGGTTGGTAAGGAGCTGCTGTCACTGGTTTGGGGTCTTCTGCTCATAACAAATGAAGATAATCGTTAATTATGATTTTATATAATAACTAGAGGCCCGGTGCACGAAATTCGTGCACTGGGGGTTGGGGGTCCCTCAGTCCAGCCTGCCCCCTCTCACAGTCCAGGAGCCCTCAGTGGATGTCCTACTGATGGCTTAGCCACAGTCTGGCAGCAGAGGCTTGGAACAGGCGCCATGTGTGTGTGTGTCCACTGGGGCCTGCCCCCAGCCGCACCACGTAGGCTTGGAGCAGTTGCCTCGTGTGTGTGTGTGTGTTTGTGTGTGTGCCCCCACTGGTGGCTGCCCCTAGCCATGCCACAGAGGCTCGGAGCAGGTGCCCCGGGTATGTGTGTGTGTGTGTGTGTGTGTGTGTGTGTGTGTCCATCCCCAATGGAGGCCTGCCCTCAGCCACGTCGGAGGCTCTGAGCAGGCACCCTGTGTGTGTGTGTGTGTGTCCACTGGGGGGCCTGCCCCCAGCCACGCCGTGGAGGCTTGGAGCAGACACCCCTCTGTTTTGATCTCTCAGGCTCCTGGCCGTGCCTGCATGTTGTTCTCTCTGTTGAGCGGCAGCCAACACGGGCTGGAAACTTGGCTTCCTCCATTGCCAGGGGCAACCCAAGCCTCCAGCTCCGTGGCCACCACCATCTTTGTTGGGTTAATTTGCATACTTGCCCTGATTGGCTGGTAGGTATAGCAGAGTGACACCAATTTGCATGTTTCTCTTTTATTAGTGTAGATATATTCTCTAAAATTAAGTAATTATGGCATGGCCCATGAGAGAGAAACCCAGGTGCTTGCTTCAAGACATTTGTAGTGCTCTTGAGCCCCCAAAGTGCATTTTAGAAAAATTGAAACACATTTCAGGGTACCAAAAAACAGGTAAGAAAAGCCTGTGGCATTATGAAGATACAATATGACATGATTATAAAACAATGAGATAGATTTTGTTGGATTGGCATGAAAACTGGGCTCTTGCCTCACATGTGTGCATTTAGTGTGAGTAAATCTGCACATAGCATCCCGTGTACAGTCACATGGAGACTTCTAGTAAAAGTGTCTAATCTCAAGTCACAGGGCTTTTCTTACAACACAGAAATGTAGTGTAGTTATTTTTATGTTTTCCATATAATGGTTACTGACTAGAGTAAATAAATGATTATTTTAAAAATAACTACTGTCTTTAATTTTTCATAAAGTCTCATCTAAATTTTTGCATAGCAGGAGCCTTTTTTATATAACTGTTTATAAGTAACATATGTGTTACTTTAAAATAAATAACCAGTTTAAAAGTGTCCATAATCGAATTTAAGTTTCCAAGTTCTCACTAATTCAGTTGACTTGTTTCCACATTTTATTTTATCATTTGGTCATTCTGTAAAATTAAATGGATGATATATATATTTTAACCAGAGTGTAGTACTGAAGTAAGATTTATAGGGAAATACATGTTCAATAAGAAATGGAATTGTTAGATTCCTCGATATAGGAGTTCTGAGTTTACTCTAAGGGGAATAGCATCCATTTAGAGATCATTTTTTTGTTAAAAGAGATAAATATTGGAAGAGATTGATTGAGTGAGTGAGACTGAGATTTTCCTTATGCATCCACAGGGTTTATTTACCACCTGAGTCACTAATACTGTAAAGCAAGGTGCTTTATGGGGCTCATGGGGCACCTCAGCCAGCTGGTCCGCATGGTCCATCACCTGTTCTGTAAATATACTTTTACTGGAATATGGCTGCACGGAACTCGTTCCCTCACTGCCCAGGCTGCTCTCCTGCCTTGGTGGTAGTGTCGAGCAGTTGTGACAAAGGCCCATGACCCACAGAGCTTACAATATTCATTCACTCTCTGGGTCTTGGCAGAAAAAGTTTGTTGACCCTGATCTAAGCCTGTTGACCTGACATTCTTTCTCTAGTGATAAAATAAAGACATATTAAATTCAAAGTCTTTCTGCAAAACACACAGAGAATTTTAGATAATGGTGCTAATCAAAAGTAACATACTACATGAACAGTTAGCTTTGATAATAGTGATGTTAATGAAATCATAACTAATAAAAATTATCATTGATATTCCTTGCCATGGAGTTATTAGTTTTTGTTTGCTTTTTTTCTCTATTTCATGTACACATATACATTTAAAATACCCTTTGGTCACTCAATAACTTACGTTGTCTATAATAATCTTTGCTCGAACTTGACTAATGTATAGGACATTATGTACATGAACAGAATTCTCATGAAACCCCACTGCTGATTAAATTATTTCCTTATGTTACTTAAGAACATAAAAACTTCTGTAGCCTAAATCTAGGTAGAAGTTCTCATGGTTACAACTCTTACACAAGTATGAATCCAAAATAATATAAAAGTAAGACAATAAAATTATAAACCAGCGCTATCAAATTAATAAAATTAATGTAATGAAGCAAATGTTCTTTTGATTAAATTAATCAGTGCTCACAACAGGAAATGAATAATGACTGATTCAGTGTAGGTTCTTCTGAGTTGGTTTGCCTATTCTTTCCACTCTGTTGTTTGCAGATGGGTTCATCTCACTCTGTTCTTTCAGAGCTACTGTGAAACCATGGTTCCTGCATTGGTCCAACACTGCATTCTAAGTCTTGCTTTAAGTTGGTTGGCATCAACTTGTTTGAAAGTGGAAACACAGCCACACTTATAAGGTGGTAATCTAGATACTTTAGAGTATAGTTACATTAACTTTTTTTTTAAATTTCAGAGAGAACGGGAGAGGGAAAGACATGTGCCCTTGATTGGAATCGAACCTGGGACCCTTCAGTCTGCAGGCTGATGCTCTATTCACTGAGCCAAATCAGCTAGGGCTACATTAACTTTTTTTAGATTAACACTGAAATAAAAATTAAAAAGTTAACTCTAGAGCTCAGATAAAAAGGATGAAACAAAAATTAAGGAGATTCCTTGATTCAGTATGTTGTCTTAGTACTATTCAAATTACTTTTAAATAGTAGAGTTATTCTTGTGATACTTAAACTACTGATCACTTTACTTAATTAAAAATTAATCAGATCAGTCTGATTCACTTTTTTTGGAGGAAATTTTTAAATATTTACATATGGAATTATCCTCTTTACTAGATATGTTCTGCAAATGTGTGGGTTTGTCTACTACCAGCCCCTCTCTCTGCACTGCCAGCCTGCAATTCCTCTCTATTCTCTTGACTGAAGAAGCAAAGAGGCGTCTTCGGGATAAGGATAAAACAGATTCATGCCCCAGTTCAACAGTGGCTTCACTTCTTGATAAAACTCAGGAAAACCAGAAGTCTCTAGAACGACTTACTGAAGCCATTATTCAGGTACGTGATTTTTTGATTTTTTTAAAGCTTTACTCTCACTCTCAGACCTGGTCATGTGGCTCAGCTGGTTGGAGCCTCATCCCGTACATCAAAAGGTTGTGGTTTTGATCTCCACTCAGGGCACGTGCCTAGGATGTGGCTTCGATCTCCCATCAGGGTGCATACAGGAGGCAACCGATTGTTTCTCTCTCTCTCTCCTTTCCTCTAAATCAATAAACATATCCTTGGGTGAGAATAAAAAACCAAAACAAAAATAAAACACTTTACTTTCAGTTTTGGTCTTATAAAAATATTTTTAATCATTTGATTTAAAAAGTAATTAGTACTCATGAACATTGAAATAAGAGAAGAGTATATAAAGTTAAATTATTTCCAGTGCAGTTCCTACCTCTAATGTTGACCAGAATATTATGTAAAAATTCAGAATGAAGTATTAGTGATCTAAGCCCAGCAGTTCAACACAATAGTCTGTCATAAGGCCACTGGATATACTTTGGGGATGAAGGTTTAACTCACAATTTATTGCTATGTTAATATCTTTGAAAATATGTTCACCTAAGTGACATTTGATTTATATAAATGAACTAGAGGCCCGGTGCACGAAATACATGCACTAAGGGGAGGCGGGCACGGGGGGAGTGGGTCCCCCAGCCTGGCCTCTCACAGTGCGGGAGCCCCGCGATCGATCGCCCCAAAGAGGTAGCTCCTACCCACCCTTCCGGGGCTCCTCAATGGATTGCCCCAAAGAGGTAGGCCGGAGCCGCAGAGGCAGCGTCAAGTCCCCGCCCACCTGTGTGCACCTGCTGCACACCCAGCCTCCTGGTGATCACTCATTATGGTGTGAGGATGTCACAACCACATAGGCTTTTATTAATAGGATTACATGTGTTTAAGGGGGTTATGTTGATAGAAGTAGGCAGACCTGATTGTCACATGTGTGAGAAAATGCCCCCCTTCCAAGCTTTGATACCTGTTTTATCTTTAAAATTTTTTTTTGTAATCCTAAAATATGAACCAAGATTTTTGTTTCATCAAAAACCAAAAATCACTGTAAAGTATTGTTATTTTATAAATAGATTAATCATGAAAGCAAGTGTTTCCTAAGTGGCACAATAGTGTTTTCAGGTAGAAGATATTACCATACTTTCCAGTTTTAAGAATCCTCCTTTGCAGTAACCATGTGGCGTCCTGCTTTTGTCTTCTCACTGAGAGGTGGAACTGTAGTCCACTCTCACGTTGAGGTTTTGCTTCCATTTCCGAGGGAGCAGAAGGTGCTTCCTATCCACTGACTTACTACCATCCCTTTGCTGCTCAGGATTTAGCCACTTTTGCCCTTTTCTGCCTGAGAGCATCCTGCGGATACAGAGGACTCCCTGTGCACAGCAGACTTGAGCAAGTTAGAACGCAGACAGGCAGACAGAGGCAGGGCAGCTGCCCGGCCAGCTCAGACCTGCCGGGGAGGGGTCACAGGGCTCCTCACAGGAGCTGGTCTCTTGCCCAACAGACTATGACTGCCTCTGAGCGCTGATAAGGAGCCTAATAAGGGGTCCCTTGATGTTTCCTCTTCTGTCTCTCTCTGCAGCAGCTCCTTCAGAAACTGGATCTCTAGGGGAAAAAGACCTCAAAACATTTCTCAATGTCACTTCTCAGGAGGCCACAGCTTTCCTGTAGCAATGACCCTACTCATTCCACTCAATTTTTCTTCATTTAAAACCAAAACTGGACACTGTTCCACTGATCTCATTCTCCATCAGAACAAGAGGTTTTATGCCCAATGATTAATTGAGCCCGATTTTGTACCTGAAAGAATATAGTAACAGGAAACTCAGTCCACACTTTGGCAAAAGTCCTCCCCCAGCTCCTATCCAAAGCATTATTAATTTTGGAAATTTGGCTCTGGTGGAGCACTTTTTTCTGAGGAGGGGGTCCTGGCTGTCACAGACATGCTCTTCTTCAGGGAGTTTGATGACTCATGGAGCCAACATGGATTTCTTTCCTTTGATGAGGATGGGGTGCTGACCCCACCCCTGTTCATGCCAGCATGCCAGCAACTCTGGGAGCCTTGACCACAGCCATGGCTGGTCCCTCCCGCCAGTCCTGACTGGGTGAATTCAGAGACCTGCAGGCTGGCTGTTTTATTCCCCAGCTACTTTCTCTTGCTTGTTAGTGGTACTGTGTTTCAAAGAACTATAATTGGACTTGTGATAAACATGGATCCAAGTAGGGATGATGAATCAAGTTAAAACAGTGCATGTAGAAGAAACGTGTAGGAATTTGTTTACCATGCCCTTATTTTTCTCTAATTTTTAAAATAATACTATAAAAATTATTGTTTATAATCTTTTGCTGTTACCTTCTTGGTCAAGGAAAATGAGCCACAGGGTACCTCAATGATTTTCCTAATGACTAGCTAATTTTCCCCTCCATTTCTTCCAAATTACAAAATATATAAAGTATTCTAAGGATATGGATACATTAACCAATTATTTAAACTGTGTTTCTTAATAATTCATATTCTTTTTGTGCATGTAAACTGTAGGACATGAATATGTAATATTCGTTAAAGGGCCCAGACCAATTTAAGACAAAGTAAAAAAAGGAATTGTATCTTCATTCTACAGTTAGTTGATGAGTAGTACTTTTCAGCGAGATCAGTTTGATTTTTCTCAAATTACTGACGTGCAGTTTCAATAAGTATGTGTAGAGAAGAACAGTTTTCCTATTATTAGTGAAGATTGAGTTTATAGACAAATTAGGATTCTCATGGTTGACTATAGGATTTACTCCAAATTATTTCATCATCCTATAATACTTCCTGCCTCTCCCCCCTTCTTCCTGGTTACACTCAGCATGATCTTTATCAAGCACCCCTGGCCCCAGGCATCTAACATCTAACCCACTGGCCAGGTTGAGACCTGCCTGTGGGGGCAGCAGCCTGAGATGTCTAAAGTGGAATCACTGTCCCCTCTCTGCAGGTGCCTCCGGTCACATTGGCAAGTACAAGCCCCAGGTGAAAGTGGAGTTGCGTCTAGTAATTATGCTGTCGTATATTTTATGTCAAGTTATCATTTAAGCTCAATTTTAATCATGGCATTCTAAGGCTGGATCATTTTGAAAATTACTGGTAGAAGGGAAAGTTACGAAATTTGAATTACCTAATATTTAGAAATCAAATTGTGAACTTCTTGATTCAGATGCTGGAATTGATGAACCCCTTAAAATTGTAGTAAAATGTGTACATATACCCACATGAGAATAGTATCACAAAAGATTTCACCTGAATTGAGTCAGGTCTTTAGAGCTAGAACACCAGTAAATGGGAAGCACAGAAGAGCGAAAACGAGAAAATCTTCACAGGGCAACAGACAGACACATCTAGAATGTGGGCATTCTGTAGTATGACCGATCACGTTTACTCGATGATAGGAGGGTAGCAGCACCAATGAAAAACCCTGGTGGGGGGGTGTGGGGATCAGGGAGAAAGGCAGTTGGCCTAGATTTAGGGGACATAACGTGCAGGTATTCTGTTATCTTCACAGTGCTACGAAGGGAAACCCCCCAAAGATATCTTGAAGAGAGTGGCTGCGAATGTGCTGTTGTCGCTGCTGGCTGTCAGTAGGAGGGCTCAGAAGGTCGCTTTAAAAGGTGGGCTGCCTGACCACCGTGTGTTTTTATGCCATATGTCAATTCAGGTTTACTGCTTTTTTGTTTTAAGTTTTTATGGACTCTAAATTTAAAAAAATGTACACCGTCAGGGCTGCTAAAAAATAGTTAAATGTGCATTACTTTTAAAATAAAAAGATTATACATGTAGAGTATTTTTTTGTGCAGTGATTCCTACTCTAGAGAATATCTAAATATTATAGAGGCTCAATAAGTAACACCACTCAATTTTATAATAATGTTAGTGACCACAAGCACATGTTACATACCTGAAATAAAAAGCACACCACATAGTTCTGATGGTGACAACAATAGTACTAGATGAACCTGTATTTTAATATGAATTCCCCCCTAGACAATTGCAGTTTCTCTTCTGGAAGGAGAGAACACTGGCCTTAGAGTTGGAGGACAGTAATAGCACCATCAAGTCCACTAATTTCACTTGTGATTTGCTACTGAAACAAATTATGCATTCCTCAGAAAGTAATTGGATTTGGGGAGTACTATAATAATTTGAAAACAAGTACGCTTTAGCATATTAGTTCTCTTACATTTTCCTTCTGATTCATTATTCTCTCACTGAAAATACTGACATGGAGCTGGTCAGGAGTAAAATGTAATTTCTGAGAATTTGATACATGTGGTGTTGGCTTACTGGGAAATGGCATATCCTTTTGTTAGTTCTGGTTCTTGTCTTTCAGCCGATCTCATCGACAACTGCATTGAACAGATGAAGCACATCAGTGCCCAGCTGAGCCTCGATTCCCTGAGGCCAGGGAAAGCCGCGCTCAGGAAAAAGGTGGCAGATTCTAGAACTCTGCACGCGTAGGGAATCCTCTCGCCAATGTCCTTGTGCTTAGAAATGACACCAGCATTTGGTTGAAATGAGTGTCTGATTTAGAAGGAAGGCACAGATAGATTAATGTGATTTCTACATTAGCAGGTTGTGTGTGTGTGTGTACATTTAAGTGAAATGTATATATTATATAGTTGTAAACATTTTGGAGTGTGCCTGATAAATTTTATATACAACTGAAAGAAGATTTTTCATAGTGAGCACAGGCACACTAGGAATGAGCTGTAACTCACTGTGCCAGGCACTGTTCTAACATCTTCCTGTTTACTACCCCGTGTCCACTCATGACAACACTGTCATATAACTAGTAATTGTTAAAGCCAGTATTTGCCCGGATCCAGGTGGTTGGAGAGCTGACATTCCTAACCCCTGATGATTGCTTTCCGTGATGTCTGAGTGTCTCTTTCTAGCGTTGAGTCTGCTGGACTCAAATGGCATGTCCATATAAACTCAAAATAGCCATTGCTGTCACATAAAAACTGTTAATAATAATAACTCTGGTTAAAAAGATCTGCCACATAGGCTCCTTGAGAAAATGGACGTGTGTGTATTTATGAACACAAATATACATGTATCTATATAGCCAAGGCCAGTAGAGCATGCTTTATGCAATAACTAGTTTCTGCTGCATTTGATTATACCAGCCGTGGGCAAACTACGGCCCGCGGGCCGGATCCGGCCCGTTTGAAATGAATAAAACTATTGAAATAAAAGACCGTACCCTTTTATGTAATGATGTTTACTTTGAATTTATATTAGTTCATACAAACACTCCATCCATGCTTTTGTTCCGGCCCTCCAGTCCAGTTTAAGAACCCATTGTGGCCTTCGAGTCAAAAAGTTTGCCCACCCTGGGTTAGACACTGAGAGAAAGCCATGTGTCATAGTTGTACTGACGCAGGGTGTTAGGTGTGCGCAGTTTCTTTTCCTGCCGTCTCTCTTCTCCGGGCAGAGGCCTTTACTTCATCATGGAGAAAGTCAGCCAGCACTGATATGATTGAAAACCAGTCAGTACCTGCTTCATTTTATTGAGAGGGAGCATGGAGTTTATTATATATCTCAGTTCCTCCATGCTCGATAGAACAGAAATGGCTTTTTCATGGTGGATGCACTTCTTGAGATTCGGTCACCTTTCAGAGATCATTACCTTGTCAGTGCCTGCAAAGTGATGGTGGTCAGGGCAGCGAGCACATGGCTGCATGGTAATGGGACCAAAGGGAAGGGATGCTGTACATAAAGGTGGAACACGCCCTTGTGCTCACATCCTTCAACTGCTTCTCTTTGAACAGGAGGATGGCTTTGTTAAAGAGCTAAGCACTGCCATGCAGCTTCTGAGAAACTGTCTCTATCGGAATGAAGAAGGTAAAGTAAGTAGCGCTACTTCTCAGATTTTTATAGCAGTTTCATTTCTCTGTGAGATGATGTAGATGGGAAAATAGAAAACTTTAGTGTTAGATGCATTGTTGATTGTTCTTGGAACTCCGTGTTCTCAGAATCTTATTCTTCAGCACTGATGACAGTTCTTGCTTACGGCAGCATTTTAGCTTTGTCACTGAAACTTGGGCTTTGGATGAGGGTTTGTTAACTGCTCAGACAGACTTGAGCCTCTTTCTGCCCTGTTGTGCATCGCACTGGCTTCTTTCTGAGATGGAATGAATGGTTGTGCTTATCTTCTGAGGCAGGACATTTTCAGACAGCTTTCCAAGGGAGTAAGCGGAGGTGTCCGTTCACAAGGAAGGTGACAGTGTCTCCCGCTTCTGAGCAGAATATGCTGCCCGCTGTTGCCGAGCGTGGCCCTGTTCCCCTTATCCATCTCGGGAGGCTCTTCCCTCCAGCTCCAGGGCTCCCCCTGCACATTGACTCGGCCCCACCTGGGGACCTCTGAGATGCTGCACTCTGTCTAAGCGCCCATGCCGCCCCTGAAAGCCCGTAGGTGCACTGCACAGGACTCAGTGTCTCCATACCCTGGTCATAGTGATCCAGCCCTCTGAAGCATTGGCTTTCTCACAGAAAATGAGTAAGACAAAGACATTTCAAGAACTTCCTTTAAAAATAATGTCTCACCCTCTTTTGCTTTTACTTGGGATAAAACTGGAAAGCACACAGTATTTGGAAAATGAACACCTTGAACACCGAATCCTTAAGCCGTCTTAAATGATTGCCCAAGACACATGACTGATAATTTGTACTTCCAAAGTTTGATGGGATTTAAGTACTTAAACATTTCATTAAAATCCCCTACATACGAACTTTTTACTCAGAATAGAGGTGACCTTTATTAACCTTCAGATCCCTTGTGCAGCTGTTATTCCTCCGTGACTTGGGGAAGGCCTGGGTCAGACCTGCTTCTCTGGGTTTGGAAGATGCTAGCTTGGGCCCTGGCACAAATATCGTGTTCTCACTTGTAACACGTTAGCCAACTATAAAAAGGCAAACCATTTCTGCATATCTAAGTTGTCGATAAGGAATAAATCCAAAAGAGAATATTTAGATTACTCTTGAGTATAAATAAAGTCTGATGAGGCAAAGATTCTTAATTTCTTTTCTACTCCAACTTACACTTCCATTACTAACTGTTGGCCACTCTTATGGAATTTCACTGATTGATCCACCCTCACCCTCCCCCAGAGTCTGTATACTTGTAACATTAACGAATTTTCATACTGGGATGGTCAGTGACTGGGAAGTAAATGAGTTAAACAGTGGACAAGGTTAGAGGTAGGGGCAGTGGTAGTCCAGGCAAGAGATGACGAGGCAGGTAGAAGAGGGAAGCAGGGTGGAGAGTAAATCTGAGAAGGAGGAGAAAGGCAGAGTGACTTCCAGGCTCTAGATCAAGCATGTCAAACTTGCGGCCCGCAGGCTGTGTGCAGCCCACAATGAGTATTTTTGTGGCCCAGCCAATATAACGGTATATAAGAAACATTCTAACAAAAATTTTTAACTTAATTTTTATAATATCCTGTTATATATAATTATTAATAATGAACTACAACGTTCGCTAATGACTGATTACTATAATTGTGTTGCATTCATTTCCCTTACGCGCCTTACGCACAGGCGCACCATTTCTCTCCCTAATACTAGCAGCGAATATTTTAGCAGCCGAATGTCACGTCATTAGTCTTGGACTGACTTGTTTGGTGTGCGCAACAGGAAATATTTTGCTTTTGGAGAATAAGAAAAATAGGTTTATTTGCGTTACGCTTACTGATTTGTGCAGTTATTCAGTGTCTGGTAAGTTAATGTTCAAGAAAAAATATTTTTATTTAAATAGTCTATTATTTTATGTTAATGATTACTCATTTCAGCCCTTTGTATTCAGCATGTCTCTATCGAAATAAACCTACATTTCTATGAAAATGGGAGCTTTTGTTTTTTTTGCAGCCCACATAAACTTAAACCTTGTTTATTTGGCCCGTGTTAGCCTTTGAGTTGGACATGCTTGCTCTAGGTTGTACATTCTGGAATGAGCATAGGTGTGAGAGAGCCTCACATTCAGGTCTGACACATTAGCACAGTGTCTGTGGGCTGTTCGGGTAGAACATGGCTGGTTATCAGTAGATACATAGTTCTGGGCTCTGAGGGGTGAAACAGGCTGGGATGTTAGGGGTTATCAGTACATAGGTGCTGTGCGTAGCTGTGACTATTGTTGAAATTTCCCAGGAGAGTGTAGAGTGGAAGTCCAGGTCATATCCTTGGAAAATATAATGAAGAAAAGAACGGAGAAGGGAATGCTGGAGAGAGTTAGTAGATAATCCAGGTTAGAGAGGATCCAAGGAGGTAAAGGAAAAAAGACCTATAATAGATGAGGGTTTGGTAACTGCAAAGATGAGCGTGGCCTTCTTAATACCATACGATGGAAAATATGCCAAAGTAAGCTGAAGATTAAGTAACAGGTGGGCAGTGACAGCAACGAGGGCATTCTTTCTAGAAGCTTGGTCTAGAACAGCCGTGGGCAAACTATTTGAAATGAATAAAACTATTGAAATAAAAGACCGTACCCTTTTATGTAATGATGTGTACTTTGAATTTATATTAGTTCACACAAACACTCCATCCATGCTTTTGTTCCGGCCCTCTGGTCCAGTTTAAGAACCCATTGTGGCCCTCGAGTCAAAAAGTTTGCCCACCCCTGGTCTCGAAGCAGCATTCTAATTTAGGACACATAACATTAACGGAAGTTGGTCTGTGTGTTCGTTTTTCTATGAACAGTTTGAATGTGAACAAGAATCAAACTAGGGACTAGTTATTACAGAGACAGGGAGAAAAGAATTAATTCATGGATCAAGAGCCCTGAGGGGCAGGTGGGCTGTGTTCCAGAACACAGATAGACATGTCAGTCTCCAGCACAGGAGATGCCGTTCCTCACTGCCAGTCAGGATGGCTGAGTGGGCAAAACACAGGTGAACTGTGAGGACACAATGCGGAGTAGAGAAGGAGCTTACACCTGCTCATTTCTGTCTCAACTGAAACAGAAGCAAGGTCACCTGCCGCAGTCATAGGGCTGTGTTCAGGCCCAACCTCAAGAGGAGTGGGGAGCACGGGAATGGCTGGAGTAACTTACCACTCTCTTCTGCCATTGATGTTGCATGAAATTCTGTAGGTTGTGTGTATTGATATGAGCTCTCACTTGTGTGCCCACGGGCCTGCAAATTGCCTACTGATTCCAGTTCACCTAAAATGGCTGTTTGCTGCAAATAGTATTTTCCCAATGGTAACTGATCTTTGTAATAAAAACTATGGGTTACTTAAGAATTTGATTTAGCATGCTATTTTAACTGAATTTTATTATACTCAGATGACTTAAAAGCAGTAATCAACCCCTGCCCCATCTGTTTCTATCTGTCCACATATACCAGATCTGGGTACACACACATTCACACAGAGGGGGAGGAAGTACTCGTCTATCAAAATGTTTATTTACCAGGAAATCCCATTTCTTAACCATATCAGAGCATTTACAGTTATTCAGTGTGCGAGATGGCACCCTCCTGCTTACCTGGCGTGTTCAAAGCTGTTTTTATGCATTTCTTTTTTTTAAATGTGTTTTTATTGATTTTTAGAGAGAGGAAGGGAGAGGGACAGAGAGATAAAAACATTGATGAAAGAGAAACATCATTAACTGGCTGCCTCCTGCATACCCCTCACTGGGGATCAAGCTTGCAACCTGAGCATATGCCCTGACTGGGAATCAAACCTGTGACTTCTTGGTTCCTGGGTCAGTGCTCTCCCATTGAGCCACAATGGCTGGGCAGCCAC